GACATTGATTTGTCCCAAAGGTTTAACCTTTTCTCCAGTATAAGTATATAATTGCACTGCAGTTGGTCTTAAAGGAATATGGGAACAAAATTGCTCATAGAAGGTTTGAGGGGCCAAGGACAGGGCACAGCCAGTATCTAATTGTAAGGAACACTCTTGATTGTCAATCTTCACAGGAACCGAAATTTCTGACCAGTATATGGAATTAACATCAAAAACTGTAAATAGTTCCTCTTCAAGAAACACATCATCTGAACTTAATTTTTGTTTGACAAAGTTATTTTGCACATTACCTCTCTTACAAACACCAGCAATATGGCCGTTTCACTTACATCTACTGCACACAACATTTCTAAATCTACACTTGGGTCAAGAGTGTTCAGTACGTCCGCAGGAATAACATGTATAGGTAGTTTTCTGGGAAGACGGTAATTGTGAACGTTTGGTTACTCGAAATCGTTGAATTCCTACCACTGGCACTGGAAGGCTTTTCAGGACGTTGATTAGTTCTCACAGAATGCACAGACTCATTCATTGGTTTGGTATTGTTTTGAACTTCTAAAGTCTCCTTACTAGCAACTTCATCAGCGATTGCAACTTTTAATGCATCTTGAAAAGAACAGTCTTGATCATGTAGAGAACGATTTAAGAACTCCCCAAGATTACAAGTTGAAGCATAACGTCGCAACAGTGTGCTGTATTCCGAAAATTTTCATTTTTTTCCTGAACACACCGATGAAATCTGTACGTTTCAGCCACCTCCAAACGTTTCGGTTTGTAACCAGTATGTAACATGTCACAAAGCTCTGAAAAGCTTTTTTATTTCGACGAATCGGGACTACACAAGTCACGAAGAGTTGCGTATAATATCTTGCCAATAACTGATATGAGTACAGCTACTTTTTTCTTGTCTGCAGCCACCAGATCTTCTTGTGAAGCATCAGCAGCACATTGCCCAATGCAATTGGCGATCAAATATTGCTCTAGTCTCTCCAAATAAGCAGTAAACAACTCGGTAGATGGATCAAATTCCCCGAGAACACTGAATAATGGCGTCGCAGCCATACTCGCAAGAACTGAATTGCAGTTAACACAGCTTTAACTTGTTTGTACTACAACAATGTATATTTATATCCAACCCTGAATTATATCCTAAACTTGTTGCCAATTGTTATTTATATCTTCTGAAATATATAATAACCACTTAAAATAACATTTATTTGAGAACACTCATATATCATCAATATTTGCTCATGGTAAACTCATCAACTCAACTCGATCTTTTTTAAGCGCATGCGCAAGATATCACAGATACCTCTTTGCTTTACCAGCTCTTTGGAAAGGTGATTCAAATGGATTTTGTCTTGCCACGTAAGAAGTGAGATATGTCCTGTTTTTGGTCCTTCCGCGGTTTCAACTCGATTTTCTTCAAGGAATCTTCAAAAGCTTTTTTAAACTACATGGGTTATCTTCTTTGACGTAGTTATCTGGTTCGCCTTCTCCAATTTGAACATCAGCCTTTGAGACTGAACCACTGTCATTTTCATCAGGTCTTCTTTTCAATGGATTTCCCTGACAGAGAATTTGATGCTCCACCTATTTATCACGACGGGTAAAAGCTTTTTCTACAGTTGGTGCAGGTATGATTATTGGCGCTTTGGTGGTGTCTTTCATGTCGCTTTAGAGCATCCTTTCGTTTAAAAGACTTGTTACAATGTTCACAAACAAACTTCTCCTCTCCATGAGTAGTCTTTTCATGGCGAGTCAAATTTCTCAGTTGAGTGAACTTCTTCAAACAAGCCTTGCAAGTATAATCCATTCTACAAGCAGAGTAAAAAAAAAGTGCACCTCAGATTTGCACTTCACGAGTGCAGCTAACAAGGGCACAGCAACTACTTGGTGATCAAAATGTGATTTCACTTTTATATCATATTTTACACAAAAAGAATAAACTATTCAACATCTCACCTTGATACAACTATCTTTACCCTCTTTAGACTTTAGCAGCAAAATTTAGCAAATTCAACTTTGTCGTCTTTACAGTTACGTCGCAATTTACAATTCCAAATTTGATAAATTTCTCACCTTATATCCAAGTAAAATGCACCTATGGCTTGTAGTGCAAACATAAACATTTTGGATCAGATGTAATTTTTTGATATAAAATAATTATGTCAATGTCATGTGCATCCTCTACAAATTGCAGGTTAAACTATTCTGGGGTTACTACATTTACGTAGAAATTATAAAAGAGTAACAGAAAAACCCATCAAGAATGAGTTCAAAGAGCAGCATTGATAACGTATAATCTTGAATAAATTAGCAAACACCTGAATAAATTTAAAATTATAAGGCGGTAATGACGTCACATGTGGACAGGGCCTCTCAGAGGGGGGGGGGCAAAAGGGGCAATTTGCCCCGGGCCCCGGTCTTAAGGAGGGCCCCAAAATGAAGAAGGAAATAACAGATTTAAATAGATTGAGTTAAGAAAAAATAAATATAATCAAAAGTTTAAAAAGGTAATAAAATAAATATTAAATAGCTATAGTCTATAGATACTGCATTCATGACATAGTAAAAAATTAATATATAGATCAGTGACAGCGTTTTATTGCGCAATTTCAAAATGTAAATCAAAATGGCGTCCACACGTTCTTATTTATCCGGCGCAGCCAAGCGTAAACAAAAGCAAATTCGTGATCAAAATGAAGCAAAGTCTCCTAGAACGCTAGAAGATCTGAATTGGTACACCAAAATACAGAGTCCACAGAGAAGTAATGAATCTCAGTCCCAAAATGTTGACATTTGTAGTAACGAAGACGTATGTCAAAAAAGGGATGATACATCTATCATTGACACTAGTGAGGTAATGGCCGCTCGAGTAAATCCTGGTGGCGATACAGTAGCCACACTGCCCACACAGGTAACTGTAGGGTTGCCCGACCACTCCAATGCTGAAAGAACATTTACACCTTTACTATCAAACGATCCTTCAACTTGGATACATCTAACTAAACACGACACGGAGTACATTACCAAAATTGGTCCGCCAGAAAATCCAATGTCTTTTCCAAGAGACAGTTCTGGCCGTAACTTTCCTCAAAATATTTTTTGTCAAGAAATGCCAAATGGCGAAAAGGTAAGAAGAGATTGGTTGGTATGGAGTGCATCAAAACAAGGTCTCTTTTGCTTCCCATGTTGTCTTTTTCAAGAAATGTCGCAAAAAGAGAAGACCTCTGAGACATCCCAGCTAAAAAGGCCTGATGCAGGACATAAAGATAACTGGAGAAAATTATATGAAAAAATTGATGCTCATCAGCGAAGTTCATCGCATTTGTTAAGTTACATTACGTGGAAAGAACTTGAAAAAAGTCTGGATAAGACAACTGGAATTGATCAGCAACTTCAACGGCAGTTACAAAACGAAATATCAAGATGGCGTGAAATATTTCGATGCATATTAGACGTGGTATTGTTTCTGTCAGAGCGAAACCTTCCCTTCTGTGGATCAACAACTGAATTAGGTAATCCAAATAATGGTCTATTTCTTGGAAACTTGGAACTGCTTAGTGGTCACAATCATATTTTAAAGGCACATCTGGAAGAAGTAAAAAAACACCAGGAAAACAATACCCGAATGCAAGCACATTATCTATCAACACGTTCACAGAACGAGTTTATTGAAGAATGTTCTAAAGTTGTTCTCAATGCTATTGTGGAACAAGTTAAACAAGCAATTTACTATAGCATCATTGTTAATGGTACCCCTGACGTTTCTCACACAGAACAAATAACACTCATCTTAAGATATGCGAATTTAAATGATGATGCTTGGGAGATCTGTGAAAGATTTTTGACAATGGAAGATTGTGATCAAAAAAAAGGAAGAGATATTGCCGAGTTGATATGCAAAGTACTCAAAAAACATAACATTGAGTTTAAAAACTGCAGAGGTCAAGGGTATGACAACGGTGCAAATATGGCTGGTGTATACAATGGAGCTCAAGCAGCAATTCTTGAGAAAAATCCTCAAGCATTATTTTCTCCATGCAGTGCACATACTTAATCTATGTGGAGTACATCTTGATCTATGTGGAGTACACGCAGCAGAGTCGTCAGCTGTTGTAAAAAGCTTCTTTGGAAATATTCAGAGGTTGTATAATTTGTTCAGTGGTAGTCCTTCACGTTGGAAGATTTTGCTAGAGGCTGCTGGTATATCTCTACACAAATTATCTACTACTCGTTGGAGTGCGAGAATATTTTCGTTATCTTCTAAGTTCATTTCGGTGCCAAAAAGTTATAATATGTATTTACAATATTACATAACTTCTTAGGTGATATCTTTTATTTTTGAGTAGTGAACTTGCTATTCCTTGAGTGGGGAGAAAAAACACGACCCACAACAAAGTTAAAAACCATGACAATTGGTTTATCTCAAAAATAAAACACAACCTATGAAGTTATGTAGTACTGAGAACGAGATGCGCAAAACTTTAATTGACAACCAATACACCTGGCAATAAATGGTATGTTTTGCCACACTTGCACTGCATATTCAAGAATTGGTCGAACAGTACTCTTATATATCTTAAGAATAACTGACGGTTCTGCGCCAGCCTGTTTCATAAGTCAAAAGCCGTATAAACGCTTGCTAGCTTTCGAGACACTATAATCAATGTGATTGTTCCATTTTAGGTCATCACTAAGTATGACACCTAGAAGCTTATAGGTTGAGACCCGTTCAATCTCTTGATCACCGATAAATATTGGATTCTCTACAATATTCGGGTTAAGCATAAAGTTGATTAGCATTTCTTTGCATTTTCTTGGATTAAGTTTCATCATTCGGCTAGAACAAAATTCATGAATATCTCTAACAGTATGGTCTAAAATGCTAATTGAGTTTCTTGGCACAATCTCAGCTGCAGATGTATCATCAACGTATTCTATTCTAAGGTTCCAATCATTCAAGAGTTTATTGATCATAATTATGAATAGGGTCACACCCAGCTTGGTGCCCTGTGGCACACCACCATTACAATATCTCCAATTAGACAATGTCTCCTCAACTCATACAGCCTTCTACAAATGTCTCGAAGGAGAACTTTAGCAGGAAAGATAAAGGGTGATGCTAGCCCAAGGGGATCGTAGACTGAACTAACGACAGAGAGAATACCACGTCGAGTATAAGGTCGTTGTTGAACTGCAACGTTGAAACTAAACGTATCTGAGTTAACACACCACTTCACTCCCAAGGCTCTTTCGATTTGTAGAACTCCCTTCCAAAGATCCATATCCTTCACATCTTTAGCTCGTAACTGTTCAGGAATCGACTCCAGCACCTTTAGATTGTTGCTTATCCACTTTGTGAGTTTGAATCTACCATTTGCCATCATGTCGAGCAGATCTTTGGCTTGATTAATGCCTTCTTCAGAGGTGGGAACAGACTTCAAGCAATCGTCTACATAAAAATTCTTCTCCACAGTGTCTGTAACGGCTTTATCATAATAGCTTGCTGTATTATCGATGGCAGTCTTACGTAATGCAAAATTGGCGACACTCGATGAAGACGTTGCTCCAAACAAATGTACAGTCATTTGATACTCTTGTACTTCTTGTTCCATATCGCCGTCAGGCCACCAGAGAAATCGTAGAAGATCACAGTCATCATCAGGTACTCTTACTTGATGGAACATAGCTTCAACGTCAGTCATATAGGCAACTCTCTTTTGGCGAAATCGTGGTAACACTCCCAGTAGACAGTTTGTTAAATCTGGTCCTTGAAATAGCTGTTTGTTGAGCGATGGTCCTTGATATTCCGCCAAACAGTCGAAGACGACGCGTACTTATTTGGCTTTTTAGGGTGGTAAATTCCGTGATGAGGCAAATACCAAGTGCAACCGTCATTTCTATTCAATTTCTCGGTAGGGATCTTTCGAGCGTAGCCTTTATGTATTATCTCCACAACAAAACTTATGTAATCTTTACAAAACTTTGGGTTGTTTTGCAACTTCGCTTTAAATGAACCATTCTGTTCAGCGCTTGTGAGCGGTTATTTGGCATTTTCAATTTATCATCTTTAACAGGCAAGGAAATTTCGTAATGATTGTCTAATGTCTTCTTTACAGAACTTTTAACAATGTTCAAAAACCGATGGTCGTTTTGGGACATTCCGTTCTCATTGATATCTGAAGCATCTAAGAAATGAGAACAAGCTGCACACATAGGATGTACTTCTGTTCTCGTGAAGAAACTTCCTTCATGGCCCTTTCGAGTTTTCTTCCGACAGGACCATTGATTATCCAACCAAGTGCAACTTTGCTTGCATACGGGCCTCCATCTTGGAAACCAATGATTTGCTTTGATTGAAGGGCTTGTGGAACATTTGCACCAATAAGGAGTTCTACTTCCGAATTAATGGTCGATAAATGTACATGTCCTTGCAGATATTTCCAACTTGGAAACAGGAATATTAGGTCTACATAAGACTTACGGGTAATGGGATAGTGTTATTTTCATCAACATGATATCTTGACTTGTACCAAGTGTTGTAAGTTTGACTTTCTTTTCTGTACCATTAAAACCCAACTGTTCTCTCAAGGAGTCTGTGCCAAATGTGGAACTCGACCCGCTGTCGAGCATCGCATACGTTTCAACATAATCCGAACTACTGCGTTTTCTAACTTTCACTGGAACTACTGGTAAAGCTGTTACCAAACCACCAGTCGTAGCAAATCTGCAGCTTGAATTAACATTTTGCATATCTTCATCCCTTTCATCCTGAATCTCTTCTTGTCTTTTAACTGTATCGACATGTACAGGGTCTTGCTGATAATGTAATAAGGTTGAATGCTTTCTATTGCATATTTTGCATGGCTTTCTTTTAAAACAAGTCTTCGATTGGTGACCTCCAAGCAAAACAAAGTCTGTTCTTCTTGACAAAGTCTATACGTTGAGAGTAAGGTCGTTTTTCAAAACTTGGACAATCTGTTAACTTGTGATTTTCGGCACAGCATAAACATATCTGCAGACTTTCGGTCTGGATTCCGGCTTCTGCTCGACTTGGTTTTAGATTGGGCAAGATCAATTTCAAATCTTTATCTCTGACCTGTGTGGCAAAACTGGTTGGTTTATGTCCGGACGTTTGTTTTAGTTTCGAAATTCGTGATTTTGCATATTGATCTTTTGAAGGAAATGACAACTTTCCAAATACAGGATTATTCAACGATCTCGCTCTCTGTTCGACAAATTTGGAAATATCTTCTATTGAAATCTCTCTTCTTTCGTCATTCATAATTTTGTCGGCTGTATCCCTCCATCTTTCTTGCAATTTGTACGGTAATCGTTCGATTAATTTCCTCATTGCATCGGGATTTTTGATTTTGTTAATGCAACCAATTGCCTTCAAGGTATTAGAACAGCTCATTAACTGTATGGAAAACTGTTCCAATGCCTCACCATCCTCTGATTTAATGGGATTTCCTTTAATAAGTTGATCAATGTGGGCCATTGCGATATTATGTTTTTGTCCAAACTTCTGTTCTAATAACGCCCTTGTAGGAGCCATATGCAGGCAACTTTGAACTAATTCTTGAGCCCGACCCGTGGTGAATTGATCTAAATAATATAACCTATTTGCAGGATCTGGTTCCTTTACTTTGATCAATGTTTCAAATGCGCGGCAAAAGGTTTCATACTGAGTAACGTCTCCATTCAAAAACAGCATACTGCGACGTGGAAGAGTTGCTCTTTGTTGCTGAATAACCAGTTCTTCCATAATACGATTTTGTCTATGAAAGATGTCATGATCTCTATCATATATCTCTCTCAGCGTAGTTTCGTCTCTTTCACCACTACTTATTCTTTTCTTCTCAGAGTATGTGGTGTGGCTTCGCTGCCTCATATCTTGAGGTTGTCTCTTTTGTCCTTCATAATCATAAGGTGTTTCTTTTATCTTTTTGTTGCTTTGAACATCAGTTTTTATCGCTTTCGAGTCAGTTATTTTACTCGACAAATTTTCCTGAAGAATGTTCAATGTTTCCAAAGGAGATTTCTCATTATTTGCATTATCCAATGTTTTTTCTTGAATAGTGGCAGTTTCAGCTTGCGCAAATACACTTTCTCTTGCTTGGGCTTTAGCAAGTTCTGTTTTCAAGAGTAGTTCTTCCTTTTCCAATGCTAACTTTAATTTATCTTCGTTTAGCCGTCTTTCCTTTTCCTGTAAGGCTTGCTTCTGCTTCAATGCCTTTGCTTGAACTTCAAATTCTGCCATTTTGGCCAATTCTTTAACCTGAGCAATCGATATTGAACTTCTAGTTGATGACACTCGACTAACACTGGAATTCTTCATCATCATGCTTGAGACTTTAGTCAACTGCAATGCACTATTGTTTGGTTGTATTTCTTGTTGAGCAGCGTTTCCTTCTGTATGAATTAACCACTTATTTAACCTTTATTCAAATTCACTTGAGCATTTTTCCAATTGCTTGCATTTTCCCATCGTTTTCTTGGCTATCCGAAATCAACCTTTGATGGGTTTCAACATATCTACCAAACATTTTGGTAAAAACCGTAGCTTTGCCTTTAACTTGTTCGTAACTTGTTACGCTTCACGGTTACGCTCGATAAAGCTCTTGATTTACATTTATTCAGATAAACAAGCCTTTCTCAACGAATACTTTCGATATCTAAAGTTAAATTCGTCCGACGAAACTGATGACTTCTTCATACTTCCTCACTCGCATGTTCTGGATCTTCTTTCTCTAAACTTAAAGCCGTCGCACCATCATCTACTGTGTCTTTCGCACTCATACTTAGTCTGAGTTAATACGCGTTAACCAACCGGATAATTTGTCATTAAACAAACTTTATCGCTTCCCTTCATATCTAAAAGATACCTTGTCATGACGAGCTCTGTTTTCTGTGTTCTAGATCTCGTACAAAAACAACTCAGACACAGAGTTGGAATAATTTTGGCAATGTGCGTAATTGTCTAACGCACATGCCGATTTATTAATTTTTACTTAACAACAAATTAATTATTAATCAACAAACAATAAATTCAATTACTAAACAATTTGCACAGAAAAGGTGGGGCTAATTTAAACGCCCTACCGAATATACTAATATACCTTTACATTAAGTTCGCGTGAGAAAACGGGGAGGAGGGCGGTTTCAAATTTTATCTGTAATGACCTTGTCGAAGCGAGGAGCAGAATGAATTGGCAGCACATTCTGCTCTTTATCTATACTGACCCTCATCTCCGCTTTCCCACACATTACCTATATGTCATCAGAATTCCAGGGAAATTACCTGCGCGTCAAACTAAAGTATTTAATCTACTTTATTATAAAGTCTCAAGTGCAGGAAGCAATAAATTCTTTATTGGTATGCCAATAATTCCTTTATCGCTTCCCTTCATATCTAAAAGATACCTTGTCATGACGAGCTCTGTTTTCTGTGTTCTAGATCTCGTACAAAAACAACTCAGACACAGAGTTGGAATAATTTTGGCAATGTGCGTAATTGTCTAACGCACATGCCGATTTATTAATTTTTACTTAACAACAAATTAATTATTAATCAACAAACAATAAATTCAATTACTAAACAATTTGCACAGAAAAGGTGGGGCTAATTTAAACGCCACAAGGCTCCTTGGGTAAAGGAGACAAACCCCACCCCGTCATGACAAGGTATCCACAGACAGACTTGTAAAATCAGCAAAACAAATAATATATAAAACATGCATATAAGAAACCCACATATAAGAATCGCAGCAAGGAAAAGGTACAGATCTCCAACCAGTCGTGCCCCTGCATTGACCGGCCGAGTATCTGCAACCTGAGTCGCCAATATGAAAATAGTGATATGAGGTAGAGGAGCGCTAGCTTTACCCCTGTATCAGCATTGCGCCCGATTACCAATGAGTCTCATCGTAGTTATCGTAGGTGCAACGAATATGGGATATAACGAAATAAGTACGAACTAAGAAGTGTGCAGCCAAGGTCAACCCCCGCCAGGCACGGCAATAAATGACTCATGTCGACATATGATGCGAAATAGGTCGCGAAGATAAGTTTGGACTACGAATGTACTTGCGGAATGCGTCGGATTTCCACCTACCCATTACTCTGATTTGAGCGTCAGAAAAACCGCATTCCGCAGCGAAAGTAGCTGCACCAATTCGAAAACTGTGCCCCTTATACTTAGTAGGGTCAAGACCACATGCACGAAAAATCAAAGCCAAATGCTCAGTAAATAGTCTGCGTGTTACTGCGCGCCCATCGAGAGTGCGAAAAAGTGGGCCATCGGATAAACCGCGACGCGCAAAATAGTCGAGTAATGTCTGCACAGGGCAAATATCGGAACGGCGGTGAAGTATAAGAGAAACACGAGGTTGATTGTAGGAATGTTTAAAGTTCGCAAAATTGATTTTCAAACCGGAAATATTGCCCAAATTATCAACAAGCTGAACCACTTGAGATAATTGAAGCACGCCGGGAGACCGTGGGCAAGTCGTTATTTCACCAACCCGCAAAAAGGCAAAAAAGGCTGTCGTACACATTGCCCTAAATAAAAGTGCGCGATATTCACTAGATGCAACGAGAGAAGTCTGTTGTAAAATTGTGCGGAGGATAGAAATAGTGATTGGAAGGCGTGCATCAACACCGGAGCCAAGCTTACCATATCCTTTCAACATTTCGAGAACCC